GCTTTGAGCCGGCTGTCTTTACTTTCACAGGACATACATCCTGGTACCCATTTTAGGTTGGGTCGAACGCCGACGCCCCAAAACATGATAACAAATCCACGCAGCCAGCATTGGGTTTCGATCGCGGTACGTTGGAATTAGGAGTCGTACTTGCAACGCCAAAGCCACAGACGTCGCTACTCTGACCTCTTCTTGTTATCTATGGCACAGCGATTCAGTTTCTTCTACTTCTTCTCTTCCACCTTGTATCTCATCGAAGTGTCTGGGGGATATGTAATGTTCGCTGATGAGCTCTGTCAAGAGCACTATTAAGAATGATGTTCATTTATGTAAGGCTGTTCCTAATTCCATCACTAAATATTTTCCGAAGTCTTCCACTCGCTCTAGACACGTTGTAACATTTTAGTGTGGCTAGCTATGACATATAGTGCCAGGGCCATATTGTAAGGTATCAAACCCTTTCATTTGTTGTTCTTTGATAATCTGTAAGACTGACTTTATTCCTAGAATTCGTCTGGTTTGTGATTTCGTATAATGTCACAATTTTACATTCATTGGAGGATGTAAGTGTCCACGTTTGGCATTGATAACATAATGTTGGCCAAAAAATAGTTCTGATAAGATTCAGTTTAGTATTCCGAGGTATCTGCTTGTGTGTCAACAGGGGAGATAGTTGCCCCATTACTTGATTAGCTTTGGCACATCTGGAACTTATTTCTATGTCCAGTTTTCAGTCAGATGTGAAAACTACTCCCAAATACTTAAATTCCTCTGTCTTAAGGTGTTTTTGAGTTTTATTTCTAAATTGTCTTTCTGTCTTCCTATCACCTATCTGTCTTCGTAGTGTTTTTTTTCATTTAATATTCCTCCCCTTTGTTACTAATTTGATTTAGGTGGTTCTGTAGGTATTCCGTACTTTCTGCTATGAGTACCTGGTCGTCGGCGAATAGTAATTCTGTAATATCTTCTTCATGATTAAAGTTCTTTTCGTTACATATGGTATCCATGTATGTTATGAAAGGAAGTTGCAATAGTGCACAGCCTCAGAGTTCACTTTAAAAGTTATTGACAATCCTGCCGTCGAATGACATAGTTTACTTAAATCAATAATATATCGGGTTCTAATTTCTCTACCGTGAGTTAGATAAACCAAACTCGGGGAACCCCATGCATTCCAGTATATGCCAATTTGTGGTGAACTTGCTGTACCTAGTTACTTAAATTTATGCACATTTCCTGAACTGACGTCTTTGACTTTTATTATAAACGTATGCAGTCCCCCCCCCCCCCTACCCCCCCTACCCCCCCCCCCCAAGTGATATTACTTCTACTCTGCCCTGCTATTATTCAAGATTATGTTACTATAGTCACCGTATCTTATCCCCATAATCATTTTTCTATCAAGACGACATCGTAAGCAAAACATAGATTGTTTATTTTATGACGGCCATACAATGTTACATTCTGAATAATTTGATCCATATCAAATATACAGACATAAATTTTTATCGAAAATGACATAACGTTCAAAGGAGTGTCACCACGTATTGTTAATGATAAGACACCTACGAAGGTGCAGAATGTGCTCTCAGATGTCTATGGTTTTGTTTAACTTTAAACGTCGCTTGATAAACCAAATAACACTTGTATACTTTGAATACATTTTTCATGTAAAAAAAAGGGGGCAGAATAGCCAAATACGCAGTGTCACATGAAAGGCCGCTAGTAGTTATTGAATGCAGCGAACAATATAACATTTCTACAAACTGTCAAGTAAAACAGTATACTTAATTTGGTATGTATTAACATTGCTACGATTATGAAACGACTGGAGTATAAAAGACATAAAATGGGACATACCTTAAAACACTTGCTAATAAACGTGTTTGTAGTGAAACAGCAGACGATTTGTTGTACTGTGTTACCTAAAACATGGTTATTGGTTGATTCAGTGAGTACTTCGGACACCTAATGCGCAGTAATCATAACATTAACTAAGTGATCAAATAAACTGTATAGTAGCGACAGTTATGAGGCAGTCACTTGAATGAAGTTACCGCAAACGGAGGTAAAATGCATGAACTATATTATTTAGTCGTAAAGACGTAGCCATTACTCTTGTGGTCGTGTGCCTTAGGTTTATCCATTTCAATATCAACGTCTTCAGCGCCAACCCCACGGTATTTTGTACAACTACCCGTCAATCTGCCTCAACCAATCTCTTCGGAATCGTGGGTTTACTTGTGTGCACACTTTGACTGCTCCAACATACTGAGGGAAGAAATACAATCTAGAATACAATCTAGAAATAAAGTTTACTATGCCCTTCAACATCTGCTTAAGTCAAAGTGTCTGTCTCGCAACACCAAGATCAAACAAAATATATAAAACGTTGATTAAATCAGTCGTTTTAAATGGCTTTGTAAAACTTGGAACACAACTAAAAGAGATGAAGCCTTATTGCAGGTTTTCGAAAACAGTTTTTCAACCAATGTTTGGA